GATTTTTTAATAAAAATTTTCGCCTGCGGCGCTTTATATTCTAAAAATCGATACTTCCATAAATAATGAATATTTTTAATTAAAATCGCGCGATTTTTTATTACAAATTTTCGCCTGCGGCCCTTTATATTCTAAAAATCGATACTTCCATAAATAATTAAAATTTTTAATTAAAAATCGCGCGCTTCTTTATTAAAAATTTTCGCCTGCGGCGCTTTATATTCTAAAAATCGATACTTCGATGAATAATGAACATTTTTAATAAAACATCGCTTTTTATTATAAAATCGATACTTCGATAAATTATGCCACTTTTTAATCAAAAATCGACCAATAAATAATAAAATTTTTTTATTAAATATCGCGCGATCATTATCTGCATTTTTTATTGCTTCCGTTTTGTGTTTTTGAGGCATTTTTTCATATGTATGGCAGCACTGACATTTCACTTCAATTGGTGTACAAAGCAAAAGGTGAGGTTAAATTCGGTATTTTTTGCAACTTTAAATGCGAATTACTTTAAAACTATAAGCCTCCGAAGGGTGGGGTCTTCAGATTTAGAATCTGAAAAAGCTCCTCTATACTCCCTAATATTTTTTTTTTTCAAAGCCTGGATCCGTTTTGGAAAATTTTCCCGTAGTTTCGACTTAGTTTACGATATTTTGGAAAAAATTACATTTTTATTAAATAATATCAAGTTTGATTATCCGTTTATGTAATTTTTATTTTCATTGCATGATTATGCAAAAGAATAAGGTATCATTTTCTTGTTAGTTGTGTGAAATAGCCAGAACAACCGCAGTGATGTGAAGTCGATGTTTATCGAAATCATGCTGTGGAACATACAAATAGTAGATATCTAAATGTTATGCACAAATTTACTTTAAAAGAACTAGCGTGAAACTGACTTATTATTTGAAAATTTATCTAAATTATTCCAATTATAAAATTGTGATGTAGCTTTATTCGAATTGTAATACGCATTTAATTTCATCTTCCGATTAAAATGGATCGATCTTTGTAAATTTTAATTTGAGATTATTCAATATTATCAAACTCACCCTCTATCAACTTAATTTTTACATATTTCGGTAATTTTCTAGGGTGCGGTAACAACCCCTAAAAAAGGTGCGGAAAAGTCGGGAGGGGTATCAAACGACGCGTTTCGGCCCCCTATTAACAATCCGGAGGGGGGGAGATAATATTATTAACCATTTAAAAGTTATGAACAAAAAACTTTTGTTAAATTTCGTTGTTTTCGATGGGCAATTACACCGACAAAGATTCACTAAATCACCTGTTCACACTTTTTAAACACTATTAAAATATATAATTTAACTTATTTATTAAAGAAACACATAGTTTTATCAACCTAAGATAGATTATTTTGTTATTAAAAAGAAGTTGACAATCTTTGCCAGCTGAAACGCGAGATTCCAAAATAGCTATTGTGCTGCCACTGGATTAGTATTTCGTAATAATTCACTTTTCCTTATGAGATGTGTGCACTGTTCAATGCTTTTCGGTATCTTCTTTCGTTTGCGTCGCTTTTTCCATAAAAATCAATACTTCGATAAATAATGAAAATTTTTAATAAAAAATCGCGCGATTTTTTATTAAAAATTTTCGCCTGCGGCGCTTTTTCCATAAAAATCAATACTTCGATAAATAATGAAAATTTTTAATAAAAAATCGCGCGATTTTTTATTAAAAATTTTTGCCTGCGGCGCTTTTTCCATAAAAATCAATACTTCGATAAATAATGAAAATTTTCGCCTGCGGCGCTTTTTC